AAAAATTCCATGCAACCCAGAAGTCAGTTGACCTGAATAGATTTCCTGGCCTCTGTGGGCAAATTGTTAAATGTCACCTCTGCCCTACTTCCTCATGTATTAAAAAATGGGCCAGTACTCATCATGCCTTCATGTGAAATGCTGTGAGAATCATAAAATCATTCAAGCGGGATAGTGGCACATACTGTTATCCCAGCTACTCAGTAGTCTGAGGCAGGAGGATTGGAAGTTTGAGGACAGTTTCAGCAATTTACAAGATACTGTCTCAGAAAAACAAAACAAAAACATTGGGTAGGTAGCTCAGTGGTAGATTGAGCCTTTATTCAATTCCCAGTACCACACACATACCCCCCCCCAAAAAAAAGGAAAAAAAGGAGAAAGAAAAGAAATATCAAGAGGTTCCGAGTATCATTCAGATTGAACTAATATCTACTGAGGTGTCTGTTCTAGGCTAGCACTCTATTGTGTGTTTTACTCATATTTTTTCATTTAATCCTCACAATAACCCTATTAGGTAGACAATTATAGCTATATTCTTTTTTTTTTAAGAGAGAGAGAGAGAGAGAGAGAGAGAGAGAGAGAGAGAGAGAGAGAGAAGAGAATTTTTAACTTTTTTTTTTTTTTTTTAAGTTTTCGGCAGACACAACATCTTTGTTTGTATGTGGTGCTGAGGATCGAACCCGGGCCGCATGCATGCCAGGCGAGCGCGCTACYGCTTGAGCCACATCCCCGGCCCCTTATAGCTATATTCTTAAGATGAAACACCAAGGACCAAAAAAATTGATTGACTCTCAGGTGACCAAACTGACTATAAACAAACCTAGAATTCAGATTCCATTCAGTCTCTCTTCATCTTATTATTTTTCACTTCTATCTTTGTATATTCAGGCTATTATAATAGTAAGATCCTCTAATAGGATGAAATTTTGGGAAATCTCCAACAAACTGCATCAGAGGAAGCAGACTGCAAAGATCCTTTTCAAAGTCAGGATCTAAACCAGGTGTTTGAGTACATACCACTCAAGGTCAAGGAGCTCTGTCATTCTAGGAAGGCAAAATATATACATATAAATTCAATCTGGGAAGGAGAAAACTTGAGTTCTTTATGAGAGAAACAAGGAACTTGCTAATTCACAGTTAAAGAGGACTAAAGATATATAAGTAAATATGTAGCAGCTATAGAAGGACTTTCAGAAGTGAGGGACCTGCCCAAATTCCTGGGATGTACACACATTCCTAGATAATATCTAACAGGTGAGCCAGTTTTACTGCCTGCTAGAAACTGCAAAGCCCAAGATCCCTCAGAATGTATTTGTAGCTGCTCTGTCACTAAGAAGCCAACATTTGATCTGTTCTTTCCAAAATAGGTTTTAAAAAATTCAAAAGGAAAAAGGACAAGAGTCTGGTAAACAATGTCTTCTGCAGCCCATTGTAAACATTGCAGAGAGGCTGTCTGATGGTGTGTCACAAAGGTTAAACAGGGAGAACTGTCATCTAATGAGAGTGACATCTTGAAGGTAGGGGAGGCGGGAAGGAGGAGCAGCTGCTCCTTTGTGTTTCTTGATTCTGGTGACCTGAAGAAAAACCACAGCTGATGCACCTGTTTGAGGAAGGAAGGCAATTCAATGGGTGCATTTCCTCTGTGAGTATTTACTATTTACCCTAGTCCATTCCCTGGGAAAGCAAGGAGCCAAAAGAACAAAATTAGAGCCCTATACCCCAGTTTACAGAGGCCCCCCAGATGCTTTTCAACTCCAAAATTCTCATTAATTAATGAGTCACCACAAAAAACTCTGGGCTAAATAGGTTCACCACAAAATTACAATATGTCTTCTACAATCTTTCATCTAACATCTCTAAATCCATAAATTTCTGATATCTTAAATTCTTTTATTGTAACTCATTGAAATGCAAAACTTGACCTGACCTGACCTGAATTATTCTGATGACAAAACCTGACCACATTTATGGGAAGGTATTCCAGAATGCTACCTCAAGCGCCCCCTGAGTCACTAGGATTATGGGTGTGCACCACCACACCTGGCTATCCATTTCCTTTTATATTGACCCATGTTTTGTGATACCAAAAATAATAATAATAATTAGAGGAATAATTACTTGATGCAATTAAATTCCTAGCTTTAATCCTTTATTCGTATTACAAAATTAAGATTCCTCATATTGGGGCTGGAGATGTGGCTCAAGCAGTAGCACGCTCGACTGGCATGCGCGGGGCGCTGGGTTCGATCCTCAGCACCAAATAAAAATAAAATAAAGATATTGTGTCCACTGAAAACTAAAAAATAAATATTAAAAAAATTCTCTGTCTCTCTCTCTTTAAAAAAAAAGAGGGAACTAAAAAAAAGTTTCTGAATTCAGTACATTAGCATGCCCAAGAGGATGTCTCTTTGGGTGGGATTGTTTTATTTCAAGTGTATTATGAAAAAATGGGAACCAGATAATTACTTCTTTGGGATGAAATCCACAGGCTGAAAGCTCATAGCTACCTACTTAGAAAAGACTCTTATTAAGAGCTGTTCAAACCCATGGATGGGGCCTTTGGATCACAAAGTGTTCCATTGTGCTTTTCAGGTCTACTAATTAAAAATCTTCTTGTCCGATAGGCCAAGCTTATTTAGTCTAAGTTTAAACCTTTTTGGTGGAATGAAGATTACAGATTATCCATGTTCAAATGAAGAACTAGAACTTTTAAGTTGTGCTCTAAATGTTATATTTGAACACCAATGTTCATTTAAGGACCAAATTAAAGAGTCTCCTGCTTGGAATTTTTGAAATCTAGACTAGATAGGAATCATGTCTTCCCAGAATAAAACTGTTCACATGAACCTATTTAGCCCAGAATTTTTTCACTTTTGTCAAAATGTCTCATTTCTAAATCTTCTGTACTTATGAATTTGGGGTAAAAACACATAAAAAAGGGGCATAAAATACACATCAATGACAGAAGAAGGGATTTAAATGAGAACAACAACAAAAAAAATAGCTAGTTCTTATAGAGCTAAAAAAAAGAAATGTCATAGCCTATATATATGAAAGATGCAAATAAAAAGGAGGAGGAAGAATTATTTAAGGTATTATAATCAGGAATTATAGCCTTAGATTCATAGCAAGGAAAGATTGACACTATATGGCAGAGATGGTTTGTGGTCACAAACTATTTCCCCCTTTCCTCAGTTAAAAAAACAAGAAAAGAAAATAAAAAGAAAAAAACGCTGGTTTTATCTGGACAGCAATGATTCCAAATTCTCTTACAACCAAATTGACATGTGCTTACATTCTGGTCAAAGGTATGGAAACAGAGTCAAGTGGGATGAGGACCCAGGTGGGACAGGGGCTCAGGTGAGAGGCCAGTCCTTTCCAGACTTCTCCCTTTTGGAATAAGAAATTCCAGCAGCCAACCTGGACTGTGGGTTAAAAATGACACCTGCCACTAGGATGTGAAGCAAAATGACTGGAGCTGAGTCCCTGCTAACTTTGGGGAACTGCCAGATTTACACTGGACTAGCTAGCTCTGTGCTTCCTTAACATGAAAGAAGAAATTCTTGCACATTTTCTTGTTGTTGTTATATTCAACTCTATCAAAAATTTAACTGATTCAGACTGGCAAAAAGAAAAATTATATCAATCACAGGATCATGACTTGGGCCCTTGCCACTCATGTGTGGCCCCTGAAAGAGCAACGAGGACATTTGGGGGCTTCTTAAAAATGCTCAGGTCCCACCCCAGAGTCACTGAATGTGCAATTGAAGCAATTTGAGAAATACTGATAAAAATTCTCTTTAAAAACTAGACTAACCATCGTTGATTGGAATGACCTGCTGAGTGGTGTTCTTATTACCTAGATTTATATCCTGAAAAAAATGACACAGAAATATGACCCGATTTTGAAGTCAGAGAGTAAACATTATTTTCAAGACAAGTTTCACTATAAGCTCAAAATGCAAAAAACAAACAAGAAACAAATAAAAAGTCTATAAAGAAAATTTAAAGGGGTTGGGATTATGGCTCAGTGGTAGAGCGCTCACCTAGCTCTTGGGAGACCCATAAAAATAAATTTAAAAAAAAAGATTGTGTCCAACTATAACAAAAAAATACTTTAAAAGACGTTTTAAAAACTAACTTTGGACTTTTTTTAAAATATATTTTTAGTTATAGATGGATGCAATACCTTTATTTATTTAATATGGTGCTGACACATGCTAGACAAGCGCTCTACTGCTGATCCATAACCCCAGCCCTAACGTTGGGCTTTTTAAAGACATAATTCAAAATAAAGTAGGTTCATTACACATGATGATAAGATAGCTAATGAAATCCAGAAACAATAACTACTTAAGGCCTGTCATTACACCAAAGCTTTTTTATTTTAATTTTTCAGTTACATTATAAATGTGTCTCCTAGGGAACTACTAATTCTGTGACAAGTTTGGTTATATTGTAACCACTCAGCTAAAAAGTCATTTACCTCTGTAGCATTTAAAAAAGGTAACATTATAATTTCAATATATACTTTTCAATCTGGCAAATTTCTCCTCCACTTCTCAAAATGACTCCCAGTCAGGAAATGCAATTCTCTAAATAAACAATTGATTGTTGAATTTGTTGAATTGATTAATTTTAGGCAATTTTCAAATAATTTTAGAGCTTTGTCTTTTAATTTTTAATATTTTTGGAACTGGAGATTGAACCCAGAGGTACTGTACCACTAAGCTACATCCCCAGCCCTTTTAATTTTTTACTTTGAGACAGGATCTTGTTAAATTGCTTAAGGCCTTGCTCAGTTGTTGAAGCTGGTCTTGAACTTGTAATCTTCTGTCTCAGCCTCCCAAGTTGCTGGGATTTTATATGTGCCACACAGTACCTGACTTAAGGCAGTTTTTTGGGGGAGAGGGATGGATACCAGCATTGAATTCAGGGGCACTCAACCACTGAGCTKCATCCCCAGACCTTTTTTGTATTTTATTAGAGACGGTGTCTCACTGAGTTGCTTAGCACCTCCCCATTGCTGAGGATAGCTTGAACTCTCAATCCTCATGCCTCAGCCTCCTGAACCGCAGAGTTAAGGCAGTTTTTTTACATATACAAATTTCCCTGATCTTAATTGTACTACTGGATGAGTGTGACAATCACATTCATGATCACCCAATTTAGATGTAGGACATTCCCATCACCACAGAAAGTTTCAGAGAAACCCTGCTCTTGAGTCTTCCCCCACTTCCACCCCCATGCAAAGCAACCATTTCTACCATGGGTTTCTTTTCCTTCTGTGGTGGGAAAACAGAACTGAGTACTACTTTATAATTTAAAGCTTATAAAACAGCATTAAGAACCATAAAGTTCCATGCTGTCTGCAAGTGCTCTTAATATGCTTTAATCCTCTATCAAAAGTCCATCTGATGTGCAATAATAGACAATGAATAAGACTTTGAGCTTGGTTCACTTAGCAATTCAAGCACAATTACAACTTGCCAAAACATTGACTATTCTTATGTAGAGTCTTAATCTATTTTTTTAAGTAGGTTTAAGTATGTTTTCCTCAGATGGGAAACACTAACTTCCAGCAGACTGCATTACCATTCTGACATCAAAGAGCCAGAATGTACATGATTTGCAGTTGAAAATAGAACATGTAAAATATATGTACATATATATACATATATATTTATATATACACACACACACACACTCACACACACACATACACATACATATATAAACCCTTTTGATTATGTTCAGTAATTATTTGAGGTTGAAGTTGTGGGTCAGATAAACTAGCTGTTGTTTCTTTTGTTCTAGTATAATGTATTTAATTTAAAAATCTTGTACAAAGAGAAATATGTGAGCACTCCTTTCACCCTATGATCAATTTACTTCATCAATTTTAGGTAGTTCATTTCCCCCAATTTTAGAGGTAGGCAATGATAACTTACATAGTTCTTCAAAGAAAATTATGCGAAAGGCACTTTTAGGTTCTAGTACATTTGTAAGATGCCAATGATATTAGTAATTTTAGTTATAAGCCTAAGTAACAAAATTCTGATATATAATATTAGGGCCAAAAAGCTTGAGACCCAATGCAGTACCATCCCTAGTCATTTTTAACAAACATGTCCTTGTCCTCAAGTGTCATTTTCTCTCTAATTACAATTCATGGTGTATTGGTATCCATCAGAGTTCAGGTTTGGGGTGCACTGCTGTGTATTTGGGTGCTAGTTCTTTGATCAGATTCACATAGTCAGTTTTCTCTGCACAGGCCCTGCACTCCTCACCCCAGCTGTGCAGTATCTGTTTCAGTTCTGCCACTCTCATTTTCTGAAGATCCACAGATGCCAAGTCCAAGTTCTTTTCTAAATGCCAAAAAGGAAAAGCACAGTTAAAATATAGAGCCGCCTAGATGTTTGGTGATGCGGGGGAGGTGGATAAATGCTTCTGTGTACTGACCACATACAATGTTTTCCCTATCATTATTCCCTAAATAATACAATATAACAACATCACATTACACTGTATGGTCTGTTATACTTTAAATCATCTCTATATTAAAATAATATAATTAATACAATCTAGATGACAAAGTATACAGGGGGGGATGTATACAGTAGCAGAGCACTATCCTAGCATACATGTGGCCCTGGGTTTGATCCTCAGCACCATAATAAATAACAAAATAAAGTAAGTAAGTAAGTTAAAAGGAGGGTGTAAATAGATTCTATGCAAACACTACACCATTTTATAAAAGAGAATTGAACATCTGAGGATTTTAGTGTCCACAAGGGGTCCTTGGACCAATCCCTGAGTATACCAAGGAAGAACTGTACAAAGTGCCCAAAGAACTGTATAGTGCTTTATCTAATTTTCTTTCTCTCCCAGGGATTATAACAGCTCAAAACATGAGCCTATGTAGATCTGTGAGGTTCTCAAGATCAGCATTTCTAAAACAAATAGCACTAAATCCTAATTGCTGTTCCTAAAGTAAAAAGATGAAATCCATAAAGGCAGTGTCTTTTGGGTGGCTTTGGTTGTAGCCAATGAAAGCAGCTAAGCAGCCAGTTATGGTTCACTTTTCTTTTTTTTAAATTTTTTTGTAGTTATAGATGGACAGCAAGCCTTTATTTTATTTGTTTATTTTGTTATGTGGTGCTAAGGATGGAACCCAGTGCCTCACAGTGTTAAACAAGCTCTCTGGAACTTGGCTACAACCCCAGCCCACAGTTCACTTTTTATACATGACTTCAGTAAGACAGATGAGCACTATAGAGTTTTCAATAAAAATTAAAGAAACCAAAACCTAGGGACAAAATTAGTAACATTTTCACTAATCCTTAATTATTTTGCATCTCTACTTAAACTCACCTAATGCCCCACCCTAACAGGATTACTAAATTATCCCAGCTTTCATTTGTGGTCCTTTGTGGTATACCTACTTCTCTAATGCTAGTGCTAGGGTATCAGTCAACCTGGCTCTTAAAATTCTTGCCAATACTATTGTCACCAGCATCTAACTCCTCTACCAAGACTACTATCTTCCTGTTTAAAAAGAATACCTGCAGAAAACATTAAGAACTTAGTCTTTATTGCCATGTCCAAAAGTAACAAAAATTTAAGCTCATCTATAATAAACTCATGATTGTCATTTCCCTATCAGAAATGGGTAATTTTCCTCTTTCAAAAGGAAGTCTCCTCTGCCTCTCCCCTACTGCCAAGTGTTTGCCCCGACACAACATTCACATTTACTTATTAAGTAATTATACCCATCCCACGACTTTTTCAGCCTGACTTCTTTTTTTAAAAATGTTTTTTCTTTTTCTGCCTGCATAATGGAATATCACATTTTAAAACATTAAAAATCCAATAGTCATTCAGCAGTTTGTCAAAAATATCCAGTAAATGAATATTAGTTTAAAAATTGGATTTTAAAGATTTTTTTAAAAAATTTTTGGATGGTCATCTATACTCTGTGCTTCAGAGAATCCTTAAATCCTTAGAGTGATCCTTGTGCTATTAAAAACAAAATATGCAAAGACAAACATTTTTTTAGTTCAAAAACCAAATGACACCTTCCTTGAAAACATCCAACTCCACACTCAACTGGTTGTTAGTTTGTGGCTGCTTTGACAGAATACCTTTGAAGTAGAAACTGTCATAAATAACCCAACTTATTAATATTCCACAGCACAAAGTTACCTGCTCAGTCTCTTCTTTCCTGACAAGAAGAATAATTTGGTACTATTGATTAATTCAAGAGAAATGGCTGAAGGAGAAAAATATTTTCCTGCAAGTGTCAGTAGCTTCTTTGATATTTTTTCTCCAGAAATTGTCATTTTGCATTAATTTTTAAAAGGGGAAACATCTTTGTGACATCCTAAAACTACAAAGAAAAAGTCAATACTGAAGTTAAAAATAGTTCATGGCTCCCGAAGGGCCTCTAGTGGCCAGTGTTACCAAAATATTAGCAAACATTCATTTTGTCTCAATATCTGATTATTTTTTTTCTGTTTTCTAAGGATCCTGTAAGATCCCATGCAAATAAGAGTATTTTGTGGAAAAAAGTGTTGAATTAAAGAATCAGCACACATTGTCCCTTTTGTGAATATTGTTTATGTGGACTCCCTGACTCCTTCCTCCGCTTCACTACTTTGAAGCTAATAAAGAGGGATGCCTACCCATAATAACTACCCTGGAAGTTATGGCCTATGTTTGGCAAATTGAGAAATAGTTATCTGTGGTATCTTTCAACCTTAAACCTATTTCAAGTTTGCTATAGCTCTGGTGCATAGGCATATTACACAGCTGTTCTGGGAAATAAGACAAATAATTCAGAGTTGGATGCTAATTACTTAGGTAGTCTATTGTTCTACACTGGGTAAGTAACATAAAACAATGACTTAAGCTGAAGAAATGAGTCTTGGGATTGGTGGAATTTTAGGTGTTCAGGACAGTTGAGGGAAGAATTCCCCAGCCTTTTATTATACCTACTCAATTTACCCAAAAGGCTGGCCCAGATTCAAATCCCCAGTGTACAAATAGATCGAACTACGTGAAATTTATAAGGCCAAGGATAATGTTTAAAATAGGGCATCTTCTTCCTTTCCTTGCTGTTTATTTTTGGGACCTCTGATAAGCTATTTCATCATGCCAAACCTGATTTGATGTGAATAACCTATTTCCTAAAGTTTAAAGCTGGTAGAATGGCAGACAAGTGTAGGATAGATAGAGTCATATGGAGAAATCAAATCCTTTTATCACCTCTGAATAGGTGCAATTACTGATTTTGCAGTACTGGAGATCAAACCCAGGGTCTTATGCATACTAGGCAAGTGCTAAAGCACTGAGCCACATCTCAACCCTAGATTCAAACTTTGTCTTAATACATTACCATAAACTAAATCACCATAAGTAGCTACTCTCCTGTATTTTGAAATTTTCTTTGACAGACTTGGCTGATGTTGCCTTGGTAAACTAAGAATTTAAACTTTGCTCGTTGGATTGGCAGTTTCACCCTAAGACTGATTATGCCAGGACTATTTATTTCTCTTCCTTCAAAGGAGTTCAGAGGGTACAAGATACTATTTATCAGCCCAGAAAGCTATCAGTGAGTGGAGAATTCCTTTGCTTCTAATTCTGACTTTTTAGAAAACATGGCCCTGTGTTTTGAGGTTTGGCAATACAATCAGACATAATGGAAAAAGCACTTGTCTTGTTATACCATATTTCAGCTCACAGATCTGGCTGTCCATTTTCTTCAGCTTCTGACATATCTTCATTGCAGGCATATGTACACTCATGGGGCGTGTGACTTCACTTAGGATTTTGGTGGCAGCATCTTTTGTGGCTCCTAGATAATAGCACTGACGAGAATGAAGAGAATTTAGCATCCCAAGCAATGAAAAAAGCAAGTAATCCAGTATAGAAAGGGGAGAAAAAGGTTAACCTAGTTTTCATAGTCCAGCTATTAAATTTTAACCCCTGCTAAGAAAACAAGTGACTCCACTCTCATGATCATCTTACTTAGAAGCACCTTACTACATGCTCAATGTTGAAAGACTGGTGAAAAGAGCTCACACTTACTAAGTGTTTTCTCTGTGCAAGGGCTGCATTAACTTATTTACCTTTCAAAACAATCCTGTGAAGCAAGAACTATTATTATCCTCACATTTTGCCCGAAAAATCTAAGGCTGCACAGCCAGCAAGTAGAAGAGTCAGAATTATAAAATTCAGCACCCTGGCTGTCAAGCCCATGACCTTTTCCATCATGCAATACTTCCTTTCAAGCTACCTGACTTAAGAATTTTATGTGTAGAGCTAAGAATGTAGCTCAGAGGCCTAGCATACACAAGGCCCTGTGTTCAATCCCTAGTATTGCAGGGGGAAAAAAAGGAAAAAGAAAAATTTACATATAAAAATATAAAACTTACTGGCACAAATAATTGACAAAAAATTTATGATATATTGGAGTTAAGTGGTCAAAAACGCAGATTAAACTGACAAATTCAACATGAACATTTTAGGGAAGAATGAATTGGTATAAAATTGTCCTTAGTTATGTAGAACACTATATTGAAATAAACTATATGTGTAAGCCCAGGAAACACCATCTAAATGTCATAACAAGAAAATTATAAACACTTCATTAGTTATGTATTGATAATAGTATAAAATGTTTTGATAGGTTTGAGTAGTTGTCTTGTAAGAAATGGAAAGTCTACCCACTCTTAACTCAGGACAGTAAGTTCTTATTAGGAATTCATTCTTACAATTTCATTTAAGAAAATATATAATTGTTTACTCAGAAAGCCAAATGAAATAATATGTTCTGGATAAAAATACATAGATCATTTCTTTAGAAGACTGATTTCCTCTTGCTGTCCATAAGAAATGTGCTTCAAGTAGAACATCAAGTCCAAGTGAGCAATAAAATTAGTCACAGCTTTCTTTAAGCACATGGGAAAAATAAAAGATGAAAATTTAATATACCAGGCGGTTTTCTTTTCCTTTGGTATCCAAGCAAAAGCTGATCAATTCCTTTTCTATAGTGTCCAGTGAAAAATGAACTCCTTTGGCTGTCAAGTAGTTGTAGAATCGGTTCAAGAATTCTTGACACACTAGAAGGAATGAAGAAATATGTTTGTATGCATGACTTACCACAACCACTCCCAGTAAATACATGACCCACTCATGTGACTATGGGTTCAAGTTCTAAGAATGATTTTGGGCCTATTATAAAGTTTAATTGCAGTGGACACATGAGCTGAGTGAATTAATTTATCAATCAATCTTTGAAATCAAGTTCCACCTAAAATGAGAACATTTTTTAATAAACTTTGACTAGCCCTAAAAGAAAACAGCTTTCCATAGAATATGATCTTCTGACAGTTTAGTTTTAAGTGCAGAGAAAATCCTCTGAAGGCTACTGAATGAAGCCCCTTGGTAGTCTGCATAAATTTGTATATTCCACCATCATGGGGCTAAAGTCAAAACCCAATTGAACAGTCATATTCAGTCTCAGTTGTCCACAGCCAGTAGAAGAGATAGAGTTCAGGAGGGGAGCTGACATTAACAACCAACACAGTTAACGTCTGGCAGGTGCTGGCAGGTTCTGGCAGGTGCTGGTAGGTGCAGGCCCTATTCTAAGCATTGCATTTTAACTCATTCAAGCGTCACAACAAAGTTATGATGTAGATATGTTATTATCCTCTTTTTACAGATAAAAGAAACTGAGTCAAACAGAGGTTACCTAACTTGCTCAGTAAGGGAAGAGAGGGCATTAGATCCCAGGCAGTCTGACTCAGGGTATACTTACTTACTCATCAGGTTACCCCTTTGTGGGAGGAAGTTGCTTTCCCAAGTGAGCAGACATCTGGGCCAAGCAAGCCAGGAATGAAATGGAAGCCAGAAGCTTATCCTGGTAAATGGTGGTCCTGATATTAGAAAGAGAGATCTAGGGGAACAAATTAAGGAAAAATGGAGGGCTTTAGTTCTCTCTCTCTCTCTTTTTCTTTCTTTGGCAAGGGGAGTACCAGGAATTGAACTCAGGGTCACTCAGCCACTAAGCCACATCCCCAGCCCTATTTTGTATTTTATTTATTCTTCTTGAATCCCTGTACTGAGACCAATATCTACCTAATAAACAAGGCAGAATCTATCATTCTAAAATTACACACTAGACACCTCAAGTAGTTTAATTTTGTTTAAAAAAAGCTGTTTGATTAAATTAATTTATTCACTTAAACAGTATTGAGTTCAAGTGCTGAGGGAGAGCTAGTAAAGGATGAACTTCAGGAAGAAGGAGATAGAATCCAACAAGGAAGATCAAGTTGTAGTGTAGTCTTGTAATGATGAGAAGAGAAAATGGCAAAGGTGTGAAGATGTAAATAAGGATTAAGTATATAAAACAAAAATAATGAACCTATAATAGTGAAAACATAAAGCAAAACCAAATACAGTATAATCATAAAACATAAGATGAGAAACGAAGAATTCAATTTAAACTTCCTAAGGAGTTTTATTATCTAGGAGGATAGAGAAATATTACCAAATCATATTGATTTTTAGCCAACGGAATATGATAAAAGCGTAAGGGTAATAACAAAAAAAGAAAAAAAAATATATATATATATACATAATACTTCTAATGCAGTAGAATTAGAAGAAAGGATTTTTAAAAATTTTTTAAACTTTGACAGTTTATTAGAGGAAAGAGCAAAACAGAAGCAAAGAAAAAGCACAATACATTTTAAAAAACTCACAAAATTAAAGAAATAAATCCAAAAGTATCATTAATTGCAATAAGTGTAAATATGCTAAACTTGCAGTTATAGAACAGGGTTTTTCAGGTCGAAACTTTTAAAACTCAACTAAATGCAGTACAAATGAGCCAGTCACAGAAAGACAAAATTCATAGGATTCCACTTCTCTTAGACACCTAGAGAAGTCAAATGAAAGGAAACAGGAAATCGAATGGTGGCTGCCAGGGGTGGAAATGAGGGTGTAGAATTTCAATTTTTACAAATGAAAAGAGTTTTGGTGCTGGATGGTAATGATGTTTGCCCAACCGTATGAAAGTACTTAATACCACTAAACTGGGGATTTAAAAATAAGGCAATGAATTTTATATTTCACCACAATAAAAACGAGTTTGTTTTTTTTTTTTTAAGTATAAGGCTAAAAAAAGGGTCAAAACAACAACACAATAAAAGTAAGTGAAGAACCAGAGACAGTGGCACGTGCCTGTAATCCCAGTGACTAGAAAGCCTGAGGCAAGAGGATTGCAAGTTCAAAGCCAGCCTTGGCAATTTAGCAAGGCCCTAAGCAACTCAGTAAGACCCTGTCTCTGCATAAAATAAAAAAAGGGATGGGGATGTAGTTCAGTGGTTAAATCCCCACTACCAATAAATAGATAAATAATAAAGATGGAGTCTTTCTTAAAAAAATAAAATAAGAGCTTTAAAAATAAAAGGTTTTACCAGATAAATTCTAACCCCAAACTAAATAAAGCTCTATTAGGCACAATAAAAAGATAGGATTTTTGAGTAGTGCATAGACAATAGCATGGCTTGACAATGTGGAAAATCCTGGCAGAATTGTAAGAACAAATCAGATGGTTGAGCAGTCTCAACTGATCAAATGAACCAAAAAGCAGTCAGAGGACATTATGTATGGATACACACGTTTGTAGTAAAAGTCCTAAAACAAACAAACAAACAAACAAAAAGAATGGGAAAGATAGGAAAATTACGGGGAAAAAAAGTTGGAGTTAGTTGCAACTAATAGTTTATTTTTTAATCAATTTATTTAATTCAGAAAAGAATGGTAGCAAATATTAAAATATTAATGTTTAATCTAGATGCTAGTATAATTGTGTAAAATTTTTCAGTGTGTTTGGAATAATTCCAAGTTTATTTTGAAAACTCACCATAACTTTGATTACTGCAAAAATCCCCAACATGCTTACAAAATATTTGGCAATATTAATAAAAAATTGAATTGCAAGTTTTAAAGTGAAATAACAATTCAGTCCCGTAATTGTTAGCCAGAGCCCAAAAGGAGGAAAGCAGTATATGAAAAATATAATAATGCCACCTGCAGGAAAAGAATTACAATTTTGTCCAAAAGTTATGACAAAATGGTTAAAATCAGCTTTATAGAATCATTACAACTATCAGTGGGCTATACACTATTTTCAACAGTTCCATCCTTAACTTCTAGAACTAAAGCCAGTCCCCCATTATTGAGTACAGCTTGATTTGGAGGGGGACAAAATACCAGATTAGTCTTGGTGGGACTAGGGGGGCATTGCATCCTAAAAATAGGATACACATTATAATGAGTTAAGGTTTTCAAGAACATTCAGAACTTGAATGGTTTGGATACTGCTTCTTTGTTCCAATTTTATTTGTAATGCTTTCCTAAATAAATGAGCCTGGTACTGCACTCAGAATGCAATATGTTAATGATTCAGTACCTGAACTTCAAAACTAGCTCTATTACTTTATAATTCTGTGATTCTTACTTTTCGTTACTGAATGTAGCTCAGTGGTAGAGTGTTTGCCTAATATGTGCAAGGCCTTTGATGCTCCCTGTTGAGAGCCACAGCCGAAGGGGCCCCAGCAAACTTCCAGCTGCCAGCAAACTTCCAGCTGCCGGCTGATGATTGGCTCACAGCGGCCCCAGCAACATCTAGCTGATTGGCTCCTCTGCGTGATGCTCACTGGGCTGTTTCCCTGCCCTTTCAGACCACGGAGCTGCTCATTGGGGGACTTCTTTGGCTCCGCCCATGTGATCCAGCCAATCAGCCTCAAGAGTAGGAGGATTGGGGGAGTCGGGGAGGCTTGTGTTTTTTGTGAGAGAGGCTTGTTGGAAGCCGGTGGTGGCATTTGGGCTCTGAGGGTTTTTCCTGAGGAGCTGTTTTGTTTGGCGTGTGTGGTTCTAAAAATAAATTTGTTTCTTTTGACAAGTGGCTCCTGAATCATGCCCAGCCAGACTGCCGCAGCTCCCCAGCAACAAAAAGGAAGAGAGAGAGAGAGAGAGAGAGACCGAAAGAAAAAATTACAAAAAACTCATGTGTCAGTCTACTAGCCATCTGTTTTTGAGATAGGTTGGCTCTCAAGGAGAAAAGAGACCCTTTCTAGGTGGAGATTTGGCTCTGTAAGCATGATCAGCTATGCTGGTCTCATTAGTTAGATGAATAAAACCTCCAGTGTATGCTTGTATCAAATCAACTAGAACAAAAGCATAATCAATTTAAATGTCACCAGATTCAAAACCCTACACAATGTACCCATATCTGATTTAAGGATGGAATGCTTAACAAAGAAGAAACATTGTGAACCCCAAATATCAAATGTTTGTTTTTTATGAAAACTTTCTTAGAAATCTACATTTTTATTCCCAGGAAAATCCTATATATATTCAGAAAGTTCAACCCTGGTTGCATTGCTTGTCCCTTCTTCTCTCGAGAGGTAAGTGGAAACCACAGCTTGCCTTTAGGGAGTGTATATTTTTTCTTTGCTGTCTAAAATTTTTTTGCTTATGATTTGCTTTCTATGCATTCCAAAATTGTTCTCAGCAGCTTAAGTCAAGAATCTTTCTGGACAGAGTGAGTCCCACACACTTGGAGGTAGGACCACTTGTAAAGGTAAAATTTCTAAGCTGATTCTAAGCTGCAAAAGTCTGAGTTAAAAGTGTAAAAGACCGGGCATTGTAAAGCTTCTAAATGGCAAGACCTGGGCTAAAAAGTAAAGACTAGGTATTGTTAAAATTCTTCTGCTACCCCCGGAACCTGTAATCTCTGTAAGTTGTTAGGACAATGCGGGAACTGCCCAGTAAATATCTCCATTGATTCCCTGGTTGTTTAATAGCTAAGGGCTCCAGGTAACTTGGCCCGTAAGCATCTAGGCTCCAAAACCAATCAGTTTAAATTTGTACCCCGCTTAGGAATGACCAATCACCCCTGCTCGCCCTGTTCTCACCAATGAATGTACTAATCCCGTCTCAGAGTTGTTGTTCAATTTTCCCACGCCTCATGATGATTTGTTCTGATGTATGCAAAGCCCCCCACCCTCTCCAAAAAGTGTACTTAAGCTCTGCTTGACCTCTGCTCTGG